GTCTTGACTTAAATGGTTACCCTCTTTGACTAAAATTCAACAACGAACTTATCCTGTCGTCTTTTTAAAAAGGCTGCTGTAATGTCCACCTGGCTGCATCTGCGCACACTCCCCATTAAATGTCTAATACTGTTTCATAATGGGTCAGATGGCACCATGCATGATTGTATTCACCGATCTTCACCAATGTAATCATCCGCACTCCTTAAGCTGATGGAGGCAAAAAAAAGCATGTTTGAATACGTTGATAATTCTCGGCAAAACATTCCTGACCGAGCTTCGTTGTGATATTAAGAATCCTCCAGAATATTCTTTTGTTAACCCCTTTGTCGCACCTCTGCCCACCGAAACCACACACACACCTTACCATGTTATCACAACAAGACCTAGAGACACTGTCACATCTTCAGCATCCATGTTGAAACTCCCGATACCAGCTCACAGGACCAACAAAGCACACACACAGACAGACACACACACACACACACACACGGGCAGAGCAGAACAAAACTACCAAGGACGAAGAGGAGGAGAAAGGCGAGATTGTCCGAAACCATTGTGGCGACTTCGGGTGAAAAAACTCGATGACTCTGGGCTTCTGTTATCTCAGCTTCTGTTTCTCCTGACATGAAAAAGTGACGTAGCAACTAATCCAAAATCTCTCTCTCTGTGTGTCTCACTCTCTGACTTGCTCTCTCTCCCTCCCTCCTGGTATCTCCCTCTCACTGCCTTTCTGCTATCCTCTCAAACACACGCACTCTTTATTTTCATCTCATTGCAACAGCAGAACTGCTATTAGTCTGCTACTTCGAGCTAACACATATACAGAGCAGAGCCCACACAAACGCATATGTACATGCGCGCACGCGCGCAAGATCACGCTATTCCTCTTCCCGACTGTGACGCAGCACTTAATTCTCGTTGCTTTTACACCACAGTTGTAACTACATAATGCAACTTCTTGATCTAGCTGAGGCAGAAACACACTAGCTAGCTGCCACACAAGACAAGGTAGCATGAGCAGACTGCAGTTAAAGGGACCCTACCACCGTGGCTCCACGTTCCCCAACAGTGTGACGTTGCAGTGTCCCCATTTTCCCCCCATGTCCCCTTGCATTTGGGTCTCTCTCTCTCTCTCTCTCACTCACTCACTCTCTGGCGCACTCCTCTCTGCTCTCGGCTAGAGACGCACTGGCTCCTCTGCCTGCGAGGCTGAGCTGACTGAGCCTCCTCGATCACCTGACAACCCACTGCTTTTAAAGGCACATCACCAGCTTGTGTATCAGTTGCATAAGCACTCGGATGGTCTTTTGGCTTTTTAAATACAGTCTTAACGAGGGATAACACTTATCTCTCAGTCTGCAGCAAAGGGAATATTTATATAGTCCGTTTATGTTGTAATATGATGCTTTGGTAATACCCACATGTTGGTTACTACAGTGATTTCTGATGTGGGAAAACATGCCGTTTTCTTATTCAGTGCGACTTTAACGCCGACACCATGAATAGGCCTATCACACATGTACTTCTTCTTTCAGTTCTTGGTGCTTCCTTCTACAGCTCTGCCCAAAAGGAATCTGCTCCATCCTGTTTCCATTCTAAATGATACCGTTATCCAGTTAAACTAATAATGAATCTTGTAGAATACCAGTAAGATTACAAAAAGACATTCCTGTTAACTAGTACATTTCTTTTTTTTTTTTTTTTTTTTAAATATATATACATATACACACACATATACACATATGTATGTATGTATGTATACACACACATATATACACACATATATATACACACATATATATATACACACATATATACACACATATATATATACACACATATATACACACACATATATACACACACATATATACACACACATATATACACACACATATATACACACACATATATACACACACATATATACACACACATATATACACACACATATATATACACACACATATATACACACACATATATATACACACACATATATATACACACACATATATATACACATATATATATATATACACATATATATATACACACATATATATACACACACACATATATATATACACATATATATATACACACATATATATATACACACATACACACACATACATATACACAAGTGCATTGTATTGAATGTTAACTAGGAATGTAGCTGTTCCTTTAAAAAGGACTGTGTTCCCGTCTTATAAATAGTGTGCTTTGGTTCAGTCAAACATTAGCAGAGTTCATTTTAAGAACTCGAGTCTTTGCATTCTGTATCCTATTGTTCACATACCTCGATCAGATGATTCATCATGTGTTATGGAAATCAGACTGAAGGGGCTGTGGGTAGATAAAAGGAGGGAAAACACTTTTTTAGAGTGGGAATTAAAAAAAAAGTGCAGACTCACTGACCACCTAAACATTGTTCACACAAGGCACAAACCATCACCACCACCCCCCCCCCCCTCCCCCTCCCTCAAGTACTTGAAGCTTGTGAGACCCAAATTCCCCACTGGAGCCAGCGAATATGGAGCCCACAGCTTCATTTTACAGGACTGAGAAAAAGGTTGAGCATCGGCAAAAGAATCAGCTTTCACCCGAGAGCTGTATGAGAAATGTGAGGGATCTGAGGGATCAAGGCACGTTTGCTCTGAGCAGACTGGTAGATGCCGAGGGTATCGATCTGAGGATCGAGGTCTATCTTCTCTTCTCGGATGAAGAGGTCTGTCTATGCATCCTATGCAAGGTAACTAAAACAACACAAGGGAATATGAACGCAAGTTGAGCACTTGGTTTGGTGCTACATGTTCTCCTTAGAAGACTGTGAGAGCCGACCTAGTCAGCCAGGTCTGTGATTAAGAATGGTCTAGACATGGTTTTACATTATTCTATTGAGCTTCGGTTATAAAATGTTATTCTATTTTATTCTTATTGTATTAATAAATCATTTGATTGTATTTAAGTGGTATAATTTTATTTGATCATATTTATATTTTAATAATATAGTCTTTATTTGACATTGTTTTATTATCTCACGTGTATTTGTCTCAAATTTTCAAATTGCTGCATGTTTGTCTTTTCAACTGTTTTCATGATCCACAATTGTAAAGTTTGATTGATTGATAATAGTGATGCATTACTTTGCACTATATATATATATATATATATATATAATGCACTTAATGGGCTCTCATTTGCCCGTAGCAGTCCTACTATATCCATTGAAGTGTTGTTGATAACTTTGTTATTATTGCTTTTCCCAACATCATGCAGCCTGTAAAGAGAACAGGAAGCTTGACTGTGCTGGTGGTTTGTGTTTATGCTGACAGAGACACGCTGCAGCTTTAAAGACACATTGAAGTACCGATCCTTCCTCTCTGCTATTTATGCTCCTCATTCAGTGGGCAGTTAATTTTAGCCATGTCATCCATCAGCCATGCCTGTTCTACTTCCTAAACCCTAATCTCTCCCTTGGAAAATAGCCTAGTCGACTCCATTGACATTGCTTTTGACTGTATTGGGAACAATGGACACATCTCCTAAATACAAGAAAAAGGTATAATGTTCTTACAGTGTTTTATTGAAACTAATCTTTTTATTACCTGGTTTCCAGTAAACACTCAGAAGAATGCAAACAGGCTCTCTCTGGAGATGACAGCACGCGCTCCAGCATCAGGCACTGTATGACGGAAAAGAAGAGCGTCATCCTCGTCAGGTCCTGAGGAAATCCCAGCCGTTATTTTGAGACGTGTCAAACGTACTACGCAGTGAACTAAAAGGTCTCCATTCAGCCTTTAGCTCAGTTGTTTCTGGCATCAGATTGTTGGACAAAGTCAGAGAAAAGTGACCGTTGTAGAGGTATAATGTGACACTTTGATGTTGAAAATGACCATTTACCACTAGCTCCACCTCGCACTTGAATACTATAAAACAGGTTAACTGAACCATTGAACAACATGTTCTCTTACTGTGCCTCTGAAGCAGTCAGCAAATCACATCGGTCAATCGACTGCAGTCGGATTGGGGTTTTGACGTCAGGAGACCGATGGATGCGTCAAGTTCTCCTGTCAACAAAGTTACAGGGCACAAAATGAACAGAAACATACATTCACTTGCTCTGATGTAGTTCAAACTGCTGTTTTGCCATCACTCATTAGTGCTGCATTAATGCTAATAATATCCGACTCATTCCAAGAAGACTGTATCTGAATAACTTCATGCGCTGTAAAAGATCTAAGCCTGCACAAATATGCCACCCTGTGTTAAGTAAGGGTATTGCTTTTGGAGGGTTTGTTTACATCAGGAATAAAAAGTGCGTATGACATAGAAACCTCTGGATGGATGGATCTGAGTCAAGGTATTGGCACAGGAGGCGCACGCACTTAATGTTGACAAACCATAAAAGCATCTTTAGAAAGAATCAATAATACAGTGGCTTTTCTTTAACTATTGGAAGGACATATTTCTGCAAATGCACAGTGGGAAAAGCAATCTTATAACATTTTAACTTTAGGTCTATATTCAACAAAATGCTGTTGAATGAAGTGGCAACTTATTTTACATTATGTTACAATTTAAATGCAGTATGCTCAGCTGCAAATAGTATTAACTACATACAGCAGGATGCAATAGTGACGCATTTCAAAGTGTATAATTTAACATTCTTGAAAAGGTAGCCAAAATATTATTTTCCTTATGAATGATGTTTTTTTGTAAATGACAACTAGTTAAAAGTAATTCCCCTCCTCTGTAACTTTAAAACTTAACATTAACATTCAAAGATATAAAAAGTTTAAATCAACCATATTCAAGTCTAAACTACGACTAACCAATAGCATAGACAGACAATAACAACATCTACTACATAAATTAAATCATTACGCAGTACCGCATGGCTGCAAAGACGCACTCACTGCTGGAGGTATATTGAAGTGCGCAACACCCTCCTGCAGCAAGCCTCCAGCACACCTCTCCATCCCACCCTGCTCTCCTGCCCTCTCGCTGGCTCTGAAGAAAAATCTGGCACAAATCCACCCCAGACATGTTTCATAAGGAAACAGCTGTGATCAAACACCCTGCTTATTTCCGGGTAACGTTAGAAACAACGCTGGAAATTGCGCACTAGCCTAGATCGCGATTATAAAGTCACAATCATGCGAAAAATGATCTCCTTTAATAGAAAAACAACAACAACCGTATAATAGTTTGAAACAAATCATAATTAAACAGCCAAATCACTAAAACAATAGAAGCACTGTAAACTAAATCCATATAAATGACGGTACAGTATATGGAAGTGTATAAGCAGTATCTCTTGGAAGGTACGACGGCTTACCGCCTCTTTCGTAACACGTCCGGTCCCTTTACTACTCCGTCACCGCTGCCATTACCTCCCGTCAAGCTCCCAGTTATTATGAAATCCAGAGTGGTCCCTTTAATGACAAACCCTGTCCATCGACATGTTCGCAGCAACACAAACAAGCCACGCCCACCACACGCACACCCCCGTGTCCTGATTGGACGTCGCTCCGCAAGGCGTCAGCGGGATCACGTGCTTTTGACGCAAGTTTACAAACAAGCGCAGAGAGCGAGTACAGAGCGTTCTCTTTAAACGTCCCATTATGCAGAGTACTGGCGAAACAAGAGGGTACACTCCTCGGTACTTCCGCTTTAGCTTACATTCTGTTTCTTTCCTGTCTACAGGGAGAGAGAGAGCGCAACGGCGTGGCTAACAGGTTGTATAAGGAGGAGAACACATTCAGACAACATTCATATGATAATGATAATTATTTTAAGCCCTTACAAGTGTTTTCACTTGTGAATTTGGACAATGTGAGACACATTGGGAGGTCTGCTCTCAGTAATTGATTCCCATTCTTTATACAGACACTTCCCAACCACTTCCAGATACTAGAATGTTGCTAAATATAGCACGATATATATAGACTTATGAATTAAACAATATAAAATTAACTAAAAGGAGCTTCAGAAAGGTTCAATTATAGCTTGGACATTCTTTCAGAGTACAACAAATATGTCCCCTAATGAGTCACAAAGATATTAGAAAAATATATTATATTTGTAGAGGATAAATTACAACAATGTTAATGGAACATTTGCATCCAATAGGCACCTTAATTTAAATCTTTAAGAATCATCAGTCTAATTGGTGCTGGTAAGGTAAGCAAACAATCCTACAACGGTCATCACATTTTTGCCAAAATGTAGCTAAACTGCACGGAAACATGTGACAAACCTGCTGAAATCTGCTCACTTCAGGTTTTTTTTATTTTGTTTTTATTTACACACCATCCGATTTCATAACCTCAAGTGCAATTTTTGTTGAAATTATTGACTGCAATTTCCTAACCTAAAATTATTTATTAATACATTTTGCAGTTGCTATTTATGGAGAACATACATACATCATCTTGTACATAGTAGATGCTCATAATGTGTATGGTATTTTAGTTTAAGGTTATTAAATTTACTTTGGATCGGTCCTTGTACTTCCTTTTGTTGCAGTGACAATTACATTTGAGTGCAGATCAATTAAGTTAAGCTTTTGCAGAGGCCCCAGTATTCGGTTAAGAACATATCTAACAACTCAAAGCTTGATTCATGGTGTCCTTTGCTTGTAGACTTGTAGCTTCTGTGAGCCGGAAAAAATGTGAAGCTTGTTAAGATTACTAATGAGATTCTAGAGACCTGCAGATATGTTAATATTCAATGTTGAAATACATTTTAAGAGTTGCATTATTTGTACTTTTCAGATGTGTAGTTCACATTATGTCTATGAAAAAACATGGCTGAACATAAAACTTTAATTGGGCCACATAAATCATATTTCTACAATTATAGAAACGGAAAAGTTTGCTTTTTATTTGATTCATTTCACTTTAGAGTTTGTGGTTTGGCCCCAGGGCCGCAGCAGGGGGCATCCTAACCCAACAATCACACTCAGACTTCCCTCTCCTCTGTATGCTTTACTCCATCTATAGTTTGGATTCTTTCAACGTGGGCTGATGTAAATCACTTGCAGAATGTACAGTATGTGCCTGTTCCAAAGTGTGTACATTTTAAATGAGCATCTATCATTTTAGTATCTAAAGCCTCAGGTCACACCTTTTTATAAAGACTGATAAATTAGATTCATAGTATGCAGTGGTATTGTGCGATCTGTCTGCACTACTTAAATGAGCTTTAGTAAGTTAGCATTAGTATGCAATTAACTGCACGTTCTACAGTTCACTACAGGGTGTGATGTGCCTCCTTTGGACAGTTGCATCACTGGAAAAAAGAGACAATCACTTCCAGATTGTTTCCCCTAAGCAGATGTTGGGAATAGACAACGACAGCACAGAGAAATGGACAGACGGGATATCAATTGAAGTTTCCATTGTTGTTTTCCATTTAGGTGTCTATGGAAACAAAATATTATATTTGAGCTTTTTAAGTTCCATCATTCCTTCATTAGTATATTAATTTCTTTGATAAAGCAGCGCAGTTCTTTCATTTTAACAGTGATTCTATTCATTCTACAAATTCCCGAAAAGATACTATATTGCAAAAGACTACTCAGACGAGAAAAAAAAAAAAGACAAAATAAAATCCGATTGCTTCATACTACATGAGAAGAACCTGTAGTCTATTAACAATAAACACATTTCGTAGTAACTTTTTCCAGGCTAAACGTGTCATTACAAAAGCATTGGATAACACCTTACTGGCCTGACACAGCTGCCTGATGGGACAGTTACAAGGATGTGTCTGGTCACTCCCTCATGCGTGCACATTAGTCAGAGGGGCCCCATATTTGTGTTACAGAGGGTCCCTCCCTTAATCTGGAGCCCAGCTTTGAAACTGCATAGTACATTTCCCTCGATGCATGTTTTTCTTTTGTTCAAAGTATGTGGAAGTATATCATGTTTCTCTTGTCAGGCACTTTGGATTTTGATAGAACATCTTTGTGAGTGTGGGTGGATGCATACTGTTGTGTTCATGTTGAAAAAATACCTTTCCCTGCTGCCAACAACGAGAATCATTTCATCACGGTCAGGTGGAGCGCATTACTGAAACTTCCTCTTTCACTGATTGGTTCGTTAATTGATTTATTCTTAAGAACCTAAAAACAGGTGAACCAGCCAGAGTTGTGTAAATGGATTCCAGGTTCAGATCAACTGTACCTTGGTCACCATGTTAACTATTTTGACCACAGATCTTGCACTGGTAGTGTACAGATTCAGAGTTAACCCTGTCTGACCCTCCTGCTTTGATACAGTGATGCAAGGGAATTTAATTTGCTGATCCACAAAAATCTAAGTGAGATTAAACTGTCCATAGCAATTCATTCTGACAACTGTTTTGTTTACTCTCCTCCACAGTAACAGCACATTTACTGAATTGTGTGGCAACTTCCTTTCCAGGACCAAATCTCAGCAACCAGTTCTCCAATCACAATAACAGCTTTATTATATTAGCACCCATATATACTCAGAGTAGAGTAAGCTAGCACTCTAACATGGCCTTTAAATTAGCTACTTCTTACATGTAGCTATATTTAATGTAGCCTAATTATGCATCATATTTAACTAGTATGTGAAAGGGGTTGCCCCATAAAGTATCATAATCGAACTGCAGTTACCCCAGGCTCTACTGAGTGTTTTAAAGTCTTTCAGCTGTTTTTTTTGGTTTGTAAACCTGAAACTGTTGGTTCACCCTCACCCAGTTAGCTAGTCAGTTAGCTAGCTAGCTAGCTAGCTGATGATCACAGTGGAGCAGTTAGCAGCTAGCTCCAGTTCCGGTCACGTAGGTAACCATCAAATCAATTAACCATGCAATGTTTGAAAACCCCCAAAAAGCTGCTGGAAAGTACTTACCGCAGTTGTGAGGGTATTTTCCTAAATCATCAAAGACTTTTCTAACCACCGGGATGGAAACATATTCCGTCCGCTTGCAGGACTGGGAAAAAAAAAAACGTTTCACGTTCCTCAAGTTGCGTGACTCAGCCACCTATCCCGCCGGCTGGCTGCCATCTTTGTTTTGATTGGCAATCAGTGGCGCAAATTGGGTAATGGGTTGAAATGATTTCCGTCATTCTGTGGGCGTATTATTGTCATACACTCAGCTAGGCAGACTCGTGACTCCGAATAAAAGTTAGTTTGCACCATACCTGAATGATGTGTTAATGGTTAACAGTTAACCATTGCATTGCCTTTCTTTTGTTTGGGCAACACCTTTGGTTACATTTAATTTAGCTACTGTATTAACAAACACTTGCAACAGGGAATACAAAAGTGCCAATTTAGAATGTTTATGCTGTTAATTTTTTAAATGTCTAAAGGCAACTGTTTGCTAATAAGATCGCTATATGTCAGTGATTTGATCATAGCTTGTTTCTTCTGCTCCCAAGTGGCTAAAATCAGCTATTGCAAGTTTAATAAGCCTCTTTTGTTTCCATGTAGCCTATGATAAAAATGAAGATTTCTACTTCCATCTGCTTAACCTGATAGAGGCTCTTTTCCCCTTTTTTTTATCTTGTGCTTAATTGCTTTGGAAATAATACAGTATACCCATAATAATCCCTGGATATAATGCATATTTATGATGGGAAAACATGTAAACAGAGACCAAATCCTTTATTATGCACAATAAAAGACTCAATCTACTCCTTTTGCTAATTCTGCCTCCTTGCATTCCTGTAACCTTTTCATGAACCTGAAAGTTGATCAGCTTTTAATTTTCATCATCGGCTCACCCTGCGGACCACACCTCCTGACCTCCGAGTCCCATAGCTCTGTCTCTTGTGTGCTCCCCTTTACCTCCCACCCATCCATTCCACCCAATATTATCTTACCATCAATTGAGTTTAGAAGGGCGTGCTTTGGCACGGAGAGGGAAAACATGACGTACTTGGCAGCTGTAAGTACACTGAGGAGGAAGCCACCCCACAATAAAAACAACCAGCTGAATTTTGCTCATAATCCCAGATTCCACTGCACATACACTACTCTTGGCTCGATGGAGGAATAGAAAGGTGGAGAAACTAAAGAGCTGGATGAGGTGAAGGATGGGAGGGGAGCCGGCTGGAGCTGGGGGGCTTGTGTGACATTGAAGAAAAGCTGTGGAAGAGAAGATTTAGAGTGATATACTGTAGGCGTACAGGGCAAATGGGTGGAAAATATAAAGGGTCAGTTCATCCAAATTATGTTTATTCACTTACTTCTGGTATCTGGACAGTTAAATAGCATTGCTTTTATGTTTTTAATGTTCTGCCACAATCCCCACTAATATGCTTAATGGTGCTTTCATAGTAAGTAAAATGTCCACAACAAGGTCTCTCCATAAATCCTTTGTTGCAAACAGAGAAAGAGATGTTGCTTTTTCCAGCTCAAAGTTAATTCTATTAATCTCCATTGTATTGAGGCATTGGCGGAAAACCCAGAGATGTATAACTTAAATACCCGGGCAAATAAAACTATCTGCATGGCAAGACACTATTATGGATAAATGAGAAAATGTAGTTTTTTTTGTGTGTAATTTGAGTGAACCAACTAATTTAAGAGTGACAGGCGGGAGGGCGGGAGGAATTAGTGAATGTGGACCAGACAAAAGAGACTCACTATTTTCAAATGGGAGAAGTCTGTTTTCTTTAATCTAGACACTGATGATCTTGTTTTTCACCTGTCAGAGTCCATGGTCACACAGGTTGAAAATAACAGAGATGTCTGTGTCTGTGTGTATATACATACAGCAACGTTCACGTCCACTGGGATTTACACCTTTTATATTTGTACCATGCAGCAGTTGGCCATGTCTCATATTTTAGATGACCGCATTGAATCCAATTTATTTATGTCTTTAGTAGGGGCCTTTTATTATGGCTCTGCGGTTGTGGCATATTGTGACAACAGGACTGTTCCGCAGCACTGCTCAATGGCCTATAGGAAATATTTTACTTATAGGGTGTGGGAGGGGACAGGGCAGGGTAGCAACTCACATGGGGCTTGATCTTGTGATGAAAGAAGGGCGTGAGTGGATGGGAAATAAACTAGTCACGCTGTCACATGCTTTGGATGGTGACAGAAAATGTATTGGAAATACGTATATGAACACGATGATGGATGGTGTGTAGACTCTGGACCGACGTGGTGCTCATGAACATGTCCTGTGCATTTTAGAGAAGACAGCTGGTGGATGTTTTCACTGCCCCACCCAAACTGTGAAAGACAAAACAGTGCGGAGTGATGTCATTACTACTGCTTATGCAAACCAGCTGTGTGAACTTATGGGCTGTACGGGATTTAAATTCAGCGTGTGCTAGTCAGAGCAATCATTCCCAAAAGACTGGGTCGGGACCCACAGGAAGGTCACACAAGTTTTTTTTAGGGTCACCAAATAAATAAGCAGAATTTCTTCCTGTCTTTTATTTAATATTTATATCTGCTGTACACCTTTGAGCCACATGAGGGAGCCTGAATGTTTGTGTTGTTCTGATAATTGTAGCCTATAACATTGAATCTAATATTGAAGGCTATCATATGTTTTTGTTTTACTGAGAGGACAAAAATATCAGTCTGCTTACTTTGCCGAAATGCTTCTATTTGGTATCAATTATTAAGTATTAAGCATGTCTATATGTTTTCAAAAACACATGCATAAAACAAAGTTGTGATTTATCAAATGTATATTCCTTCAAAATGGCTGGTTTAATATATTCAATGCTTCCCCATCCTCTAATAATGGCAGTCAAAATGATCAAGAATGTTCATTTATGCACACATTTGTTCTTCTCACAATTTAAAGATAAGGCCTGTTGTGAATTGGCTCACGTGGTTTGTCATTTTTTTTAAAGTGAGTCCCAGAATAAACGGTTTGCTAAACACAGTTTGAGGACAGATGTGGGTGCATGTGTGTCTCAGTACATGTGCACATGTTTCTGTAGTTTAAAAAAAACATTGCTTTTTCCACTCACTCTTTTTAAATAAAATGAGGTTGAAAACATGACAATTCTTAAAGAGTTATTCACCTTTCGCTTTTTATTTTCTTCATGTTTTAATCAAATTTAAACTGCAGGCTGCTAGTAAAATGAAACAGTCACATTGGAATGTTAGCAAAGAAAAGATACAAAATTAATTGAAAGGAGAAATCAATTTATATATCAGAATGTTTTTCCTTGTTCCAGTTCAACTGCAAAATATTGCAGTTTCCTTCAGTATTTGATCTCCGGTATGTCAGTAAAAACTGCATTTACAGGACAAATAAACCGATTTTGGCCGCTAGATGTTTCCTTTTAACAGCCCGTGGACATATTTCTTTGAGTTATATGTCCTGGATCAAATGTTATAAAGGTGAAACAGAAGTACATATTTTAGCACAACATAAGATATGAAATTAAGTTCTTTGGCACACAGAAGAAACATAACATGTGTTCACAAAATAAAAACAAGACAAAAAAGTCATCATACTATACACACTGCTCAATAGAATACTGATAGTAGAAAGAGCATACACAGTATATTGAAGAGAGAATAACACTGACAAATGGATGGGCAGAGTTGACAGTAAGAGGCTCTGCATCGGAGTCTGTTGGTCAGTCTCATGATCAAGAGGCTTGTTGGCTTTGTGATTGATTTCACCACAGTTTGCAGTGATAGATGAGAGAATTCCTTGTGGCTGACCCTCTTCAAGAGAATAATGTGATTCAAACTTCAATACTTCTTTCTTCTCACCACGGTAATCTCGGTGAGCCATCACTTTTACAAAATTGTACACTTTTCATGGCTAATGTCACATTCAGACTCATCATTCACTCGCATACTTTTTTCATCAACAGCACATTCATACAAGCACAGGGTTCCCACACTTATTTCAGGACATTTTCATTGATGATCTGGTTTGGCAGACAAGGATCTCGCTAATGACTCTTATCTGTTAATCACACAATATATCTAAGTCCAATTTACTAGTAATATAAAGTGGAGTCTCTAACAAGGCTAATCACTCCCACTGTAAGCTACCGCTACAAGTTGTCATGTCATGGTCCATTTTACACTAACAATGAAACACTGCGGTTGAGGAGAAAATTCATGCCAAGTAAAAAAAGTACCGTTTGCCAGCATTTACTCAGTTTTTTCTGTTTCCATTTATTGTTTTGACCTCGGCTTCTCATTCATTATTATATAACTCGCTCAACAATGCCCAACACACATTTGAAACCATTGCTCCTAGCCAGAGTTGAATCACAAACCTTAAACCATTGCAGGCAAAACAAGCTGGCAAGCACGTCAACTTTAACAACTAAACCAAACATGCTAACCCATTTAACATTATTTAATCATTGAAAACAAGTTGGGAAGAAAAAAACGTTAGGTAATGTCATCCAACTTTCATGTGCTACCATGTGTTGTGACTTGGGGGGGGGGGGGGGGGTGTTCACAGCGTTTCCACAACATTACCAAAATACTCTTGTCCATAAACTATCATTTGAATTAATATGATCCTGAACAGAACTTAGCCCTCTCAGACGTCTTGGGGAGTTGTGATAGATAGCTTTGTAGTTTAGCCTCAGCTAACGTGTGGGAACCCTGATACAGTAAGCAAGGGAAGCGTAGATGCATGTATGGATATACATACAGTCCAGGCACAGTACAGATGCAAGTAAACACTAACACACGCATGCTAAATTTAAAAGCACCACATACATTCTCACACCTCCACAATCAATGACTCAATCAGACAAACAAGATCAGAGCCCAATGTATTTTCTCTCTGAGTTTGTAAACAGATTTCAAGGCAGTTTGATTTATTTCCTCTCTGTCTGTCATGGCTATACAATCAACTAAGGAACAATTTCATTGATGTGCTTATGCTGTATTTACTAGTGGAGGGTTGGAGCTTTATACTTGACGACATGCAGAGACCCTGCTTTGTGTTGACAGCACATGGCTGGGACTCCAGAGGCTGCAGGCGTCATGGGAACCAGTGCTGACTAATGCTCAAATACACTCTCTTCCCACCCTGAACTGCCCATCTCCTGTCTCTCATCTCCAGCCTGACTGCCGTCAACAACCCAGGGACTGAGCCTTCGTCATCATCAACCTCATTCATCACCGCCATCATCGTCAGACTAGTTTTTCCTGATGTTTATTGAGGCACCGAGCCAAAAGAGAGGGAGGAAAGGGGACCACAACAAGAGGAGGGTTGATGTAGTAAATTGTTCTAGTCCCTGATGTCCACTTTGAAGTGGGCTTACTGTGGTTGGGCAAGAGAGGATTCAGAAAGGGGGGCGAGTTTGCATAGGCATGTGTGTGTGTGTCTGTGTGTGAATAAGTGTGTTTTTGGGGGTCATTCCTGGGCTACAATTATTTGTAGACTATTTCACAGCTCGGTGTCCGCTGTCTTGGTGGTGGAGTGGCCGTTGGTGGGAGGAGGAGGCTGGGTCTTGTCTGCCTCTGGGGTCTCTCCATTTACGCTGGGTTTCTCTGGGGTTTCCAGAGGCGGGTTTAGGGGGGCCACAGATACAAGAGTGTTCCCCTGGTTCTCCTGATCTGCTGGATAGGCCACCTCTGCCTGCAAATACAGCACAAATGAACTCATCGTGGAAAGGATAGATAGAGAATGTCAACAACACATGGGAGTCAGGATACGTATTGCTCACAGATAAACTGAACTAGCTGTGAAGCAGCTGTCCCCCTCTTTTTTATAAATGTGTACATTAAACATGTGCATTGAAGTCTTCATCACTAACATAGCAGCCATGCTGGAGATTCCCCTTTTGCCCATGCATTGTTTCAGTATATTAAAAGGAACAACAGCTTCCCTTTGTAACGTGTTGTATAGGTCCTTGGATCAAATACTGTTATGGGTTTAAAATTGAAGCGTTTGATTTGATGACACAGTTCTGTCAGGCACTTAAAGACACACATGTACACAGATGCATCCAATAACCCCCACACCCTTCCACTATTACTTATAAACGCACACAAACACATCCTCTGATGTGGTCTCGATCATGTGATATTGCGAGTAGCACAGAGAAACAGCTGTGTCTGGCTAGTAGATGAAACAGTGAGCTCTGCAGATGAATAAGGCAGCAGAGAACAGGGCGTGGGTCTTTGGATAACGCACACTCTTTCTCCGCATGTTCTCTGTGATAACTGGCCAGCAACATCCCCTAATTAAAACTTTGGTAGTAATTGATTCCAAAGGAAAGAAAGAGTGCTGTTTTGATTTTAGATGTAGTAAAACATGAACCTTGCCAGAGAAATACTGGATCTATAATGAGGGGTGTGATTGCAGAAACCGGCAAAACACATGGTGGAAAGAAAGTACATACATCTGATAAAACACCCATCAGATCAATATTTAAGGTCCCTCAGATCAGTGTTAAAAATTTTAGAATACAAATTTTCAGGTTAACACATTTGATTAATTGCAAACATAATCAAACAAGCATTATGCATGGTCTGCAGTGGAAAAGGCAACGTCTTATTAATTAATGGAAGTAGGTAAATCAGGTCCACAGTGGCAACATATAGTACAGTGCAGGATATTGCAGATCCATTCTTAACAGAAAATGTCCTCACCAGCCTCACTCCCTTGGTGTCAGTCCTGCGTTGGCATTTGAGGTAACCTAGAGTGATTGCAAGTGCAGCAAGCAGACCAGTGACAAGTATTCCCACAAAGACAGAGGAACCTGATGAAGTCGGGGTTTCAGTCTTTGTCACGCCCAGCTGCAAACAAGTTGAAGACATAATGTTGTGGTCAAAAGCAGTAGATGTCCAACGTTATTGATCATTTCCTGTTTGTATAAAATGTTTTTTTTTGCATACAAAAGGCAAAAAACTGTATACTATGACAAATAGTATTTTGTACATACTGTTTAAACTTAGAATGTGCTGTAGTATGGATTTCAGACATGGGAGAAGAGGTCATTTCAGTTGCAGGACTTGTAGTGAAGGACTTGTGGGTTTCATGGTTATTTCATCTCCACACCATCATATTCAAGCTGGTAGCATCTAATGCTCTCTTACCTTGTCTTTCAGATGTTCGCTCTTGAGTGCTTCAGCCAAAGTAGCCAAGTTAGCTGCAGGGGCAGTGGACATTAGAAATATATCAGTACTTAATTAATCAGGTCTATGTAGTATTTTCTGCAACACAACATAAATGTCACATTAAATAAACTGTGCATGTGTGTGCATTAATAGATGCCATCAATACCCACCATCATCACTGGCCACCAGCGCCGTGTTGCCGTCTTGGAAGATTTTTAGATTACAGTTTTCCTTGTGGCACCAGCCTGCAGGGTTCTTCTGAATAATGTGTTTAGTTGCTTCCTATAAGAGAATATTTATATATGTTAAAGGTAAATGTACTATACATACTTGTGCTAAGTCTAAACTTAACCTGAACATATTTTTTGCAGCGCGTTTTGTGAAATCATGTTTCTTCAAGTGCATCACATAGTAATAAATAATAATGAAACAGTTCATTTTTCTCATGTATATTTTGAAAAACGATTTCTCTGATTGGGGCAATTTGAGCATGAACTCAGCTTATGACAAGTACAGAGATTTGATCTCTTTTGGGTGATCATTGGGGCCAACAATCCAGTGTGTGTTCCTGAATTTCCCCGTTGACCATCAGCGCACATAGGCCTTTGTGTGAGTAATGGAGACAAAATTCAGTTGGATGGAAAACTGACCACACCTTTTTTGTCCCACCTTAACCCCAAACTATGATGTCACCTTATTGCACAACTTTAGGCTCTGCGACTTGGGAGCACTTTTCAATTTCTGTAACGTGATCCAGACAGCTCTCAGTGCTCCCAGAAGAACACTGTGAGCAAACCCTGAATCCTCAGATAGTTGGGAGTGGGCCCACAGCTGGACTCTGTTGAAACACCCAAATCTTTGAGGCAGGGAGGAAGAAACTCCGGAGGGCTGCATGTCAGTATCATGGAATGAAAGCTACTGTCTTCTCCATCTGTGTTTGTCACTTGTGACTCATCACATGTTGCTCTTAGGAATCCTACATTGTCTCATACCCTGCTTCGCTTGACCTTACGTGGCTTCCTCCAGTTAGCATTGATTTGAATAAAACCAAAGATTTAATTTGAAACTAAGATAATGTTTAGAAGGAGAAAAATGTTTTTTATTTGTCGTATTAAACACACGAGTCAGGAATTTGGGATTTACAAAGGTTTAAAAAAGACCTCTCTCATTTTCCACTACTTCAGAGCATTGCTGCTTTATTACATTTGTTCAACTAATACATGCTGTTCCTTTATCATGCCATTTACCCATTCCTGCCTGAGGAGAATAACCTTGGTTTTCTGCCTACGTGCATTTTGAACTAATCATCAGCTGGCTAAGGCTTCTGGCACTGCAGTCCATGTTTACTTTCAGGTTGAGTTGGACAGATGACTTCTACAGATGGCCCTGGCTCTGTGGATGACACAGTAATGAACCCAATAGAGGCAATGTAAAGTATGCGGACTGGGATCTGACCAGCTGCTTCGGCTCTGTGCACCTGGACTGACATACTGTACAATGCAACAATGACTTGTATTTGAACATCATGTGTTTAATGTACTTTGAGGAATTATCTAACAACTGTGCACATAATTATGAATGCCTTTACACACTAGGGGGCAACAAATAAAGGAAAATGCAAAATCGAATCTTTCGCATCCAAACTATTCCTACCAGCACCGATGCAATTTGACAACAGTTCAACACTTCAAATAAATAGATTCGCCAACTGATTCTTCAAAAATAAAATATTTATTTCACATCATTCTGTATTTCATTGAGCTTCCTTTTAGCAAAATGCTCTGAGTAAATTTTAGTTGCCTATGGTAAAAGTTTTTTCTGTGTATATGTCTAGGACTTTTATTGTGAAAGGTAAGAAAGGAAGTAGTGTCTCTGGTTGGCTCAAGGCGGCAATCTCCCATTCTGCCGAGTGAAGCCAATGTGGAAGTGTCTTAAAAGTTGCATTCTCTCTACTGGCCAGCAGGGGGCGACTCCTGCGATTGCAAAAAGAAGTCCGATCGTATGGAAGTCTATGAGATAATGACCTACTTCTCACTAGATTTATTACGTCAGTAAACATTGTAAACATGACTTTATGGTCTCAATCGCGATAGTTTCAAGTCTTCTTCAAAACAGCATGATGTTCATTTAGTAAATGATGGATCCTATTTAGAGTAAAATAGACCGTAATGCTTTAGGGCACGCTTACTGTGATTGACAGGTCTCTACGTCACTCTTCCGCATTCCAAATATGGTAACTTCTGTTTACCGGTTGCAAAAAGTCAAGATGGCGACGGCCATAGTCGACAGCCAAATCGTCTAACGCGAAGCTTCATAACAGCAGTTAACAAACCAAAAGGTGCTGTCACAATGACTACATCCACTTCTTATAGTCTATGGTTTGCTCACAACCTTGGGCTACCATAGAGAGGTGAAGTGTACGATTTGATGTGACGACCGTTCCGCAAACTTGAGGGGTTGATGCCTTTAATTGAGCTTCGAAAGTTCAAAGAAATCTTTCTTGTTCCGTAAAAAAACATGGTTTCCCCACTTAATATTCGCGTTCTGTGTGAAAGTACTCATGACCAAAACAACAGTCAAAAAAAAATACATTGACGTGTGAATTAATCGCAGTTAACAGTAGAAGGTAACACTATAATTATATAGTAATATAACTCCAAATATTTGCTAAAGTTTGGAGTATTTTGTACGGGCAAGACAATAGATGCCTTCCTCATTCCTGATGTAAAAAAACCAAAAAAAAGCCCCTCTTTGTGTAGGCTTTCAGTATTATGAAAAACTGAAAGCCACACCCTTGCTATTCCCCGTTTCTTCTTAAGGACCCCAGAGCAAGAGAGGAAACATTAGCCTCCCTCTTTATTTGTCTACCGCCAGGAATACAGTCTCAAGATTTACAACGCCTGAGGAATGTCTGCGAAAAGATCTGCCTTTGTCAGGGCCATATTTTCAACTGTAACTCTTTAAAACACATCCATCATCTTCCTCTAGTCTAAGTGGAGTACGCTACTTCCTCTGGAGCCATTGTGGAGGGGGTCAGATAAGATTTTGGTAAGAGGCACGTGTCACTTGAAGATAAACACGCTCAGCTCTCTCCTCTCGTTTCACTGTGGTCTTAAATGTCGCATTCCAAAATCTCAGCTGTTGGTAGTTTGATTCTGGAGGGCTCTTTGTTGCAAAGTTAACTGGCATAAAGGTGGTGGTAGGATGTAGCTCTGGTGGTGGTGGGAATATTCTACTATTACAGTCACATTGTTCAAAATAAAAGAGGTAAACCCATACTCACACAATCATCTGTTGACAACGCAGCCTTGACAGCATTACTTTCTGGAATGTCCTCCTTTCCAACACACACCACGTCGGGCTGTGGAGAGAGTGAGCCAGGTCAGAGAGGCATATAAGGTCAGGAGGAGACGGCACACTTCGCACATATGATCGCAACCACAACACCAGTCATCCATTGTAATCACATCTTCCTCCAAAAGAAACATATGTTAAACAGCATACAAATATAATCTCTTTATTTGAGTTGTGTGCTTTTGCACTTATGCCTATACTATCTCTAGATGTTGACAAGTCAAAAAGTGGAGAAGCACCATCTGAACATGGTACAGGCAGGTACTCACCACCACTGTTCTAACAAAGTTGGAGACTTCTGGGATCACGTTGGCTTCGACAATGGGGGCAGCAGTGGTGCCTGTGGTGCCTAAGGTGTCTCCATCCTGGATGTTATCAAGTGTGAGCATTACAGTCTTTGCTGGCAATGTAGCATTTTGAGGAGCAGCGGTAGCAGCAGGTTCTCCACCGACAGCAGCGGTTGGAGTAGCACCTACATCTTGGGCAGCAGTGACATTTGTCACTAAAGAACAGAATCCAAGGACAATGCTGTTATACACAGGCTCATACTGGATGTGTCAAGGACACGTGATGTCAAGCAACATAACTTGACAAAAACCTGAACTCTGGAATAAATTCTCAAAAATCCCATTGAAATTTCAAGTATCGTTGCAGGTTTATCAGCCTACCAGCAGCGTCTCCAGCGTCTCCGGGTGAAGCAGGTGCATATGTTGCTGGGTTATCTTGACACATCACCTCATCTGAAAGGAAGGGAGAGCAAGAGACACACAGAGAGAGACAGCAACTTAAACACTTTCAATCAAAAAGAGATAACTGATTTCTGGTATAAATCCGAGGCTAACAAGGACTACAGCAATGCAATCCATTTCATCCGACACATCATTTCTAAACACTCCCCTCCGCATGGAAGGAAACCAATGTAGTATGTTAATAGTCTAACATCCAACCAAAAACTATTATGCAATCACAGGAAAAATGTATTTGGTGCACAACTACCATTATTTAGTTCATTACCAATTATATATATATATATATATATATATATATATATATATATATATATATGAGGTGAATTTATGTTTTGTGTGTTTGCAATCCAATAAACATGACTGACTTTGACACACACTGGAATTAGTTCCAAGCTCCTTGTGGGAATATTTGCACCCCCAACAAAAGGTAGTGTTGCATGATTTGTCCACCATGATCGTATAATTACAGCACTGTGTATGGGCCGGGCTGTGTAATATACGGTTCCCTCCTGCAGTGTATTCTATCGTATTCAGACAAATAGCATCTATGGAATGTTTTTAAAGCCATTCACTGTCCAACAGTTAAGTATTAAGAGTCGGCTGCAGTCGGAATGCATATTTCTGTTTTATGTTGTAAGTTTCCCCTTCAGTTTCTGAATACATAATTGTATTAAATGGTTTTCTTGTAGGGCTAGGGTTTAAAAGGTTAAAGACACATTACATGAACCGATTCTGCACACAAGATGCACATACATGCTGATGATGCACATGGAAAGACACACACATACGCACCAATCAACTGTCATACGCTGAAACTCTGCACTATGTTCAGTAACTCCCCACCATTGTGGACAGAAACGCACCAGACTGTGTGAGAAATCTCGCTGTGTTTTCAGCAAGGCCCCGCAGCATCAACATGAAGCCTTAGGACCTCCAGACTCAACACAAACACAGGGAAACATACATAACACTCCTACTCCATAAACACAACCTTGGTGCGTCTCTCCAGAGTGTTTTTAAATGGCTCAGAGAGCACAAGGCCAAGGCTGCAGACTATGTAACCTCTGGGCTCAGTTCTGATCTTCACTACTGGGCTACATCAAGTGGATTTTCTCCTCCTTGAAGCTTTTAGTCTGGGTGTTCCGGTCTTTGACGTGGTGTGTGGTGTGTGGTGTGTGGTGTGTAGCCATGCCAGATGCAAAGAACTGAATCATAGGTTAAAGAGAGAATGATGCTGAGTGGCAGTTCAAATGCAGCATATGTTTTTTGCCTGTGGTTGGACAAATCAACTGCGATTATAAGGCAGCACAAAGGCAGATATATCACTAACAAATGTAATATGGTGGATGCTTCAAGTGCCTTACAGCAACAGGCCTGCTGACATATTTAGCACACGAAGCCCCAGGCAAGTTTTTGGCTCCATCTATGAAGATTTACAAGACCACGAAAGTTGTTGTTGACATGCTGCTGGAATGTGCTGATGAGTTGCTGGTCTGTAAACTGACCCAATGTATTTCATACTTCAAGGGGACAAAAGCAGCTCTTAAACTTAGTTACATTCTATACATATTATAGATCAGGTGCATAAATAAAGCAAGCCTAATCCCCTGGAAGATTGTCAAGAATTTCACAAATGACTGTCATAGATTATGTATGGAGAAATGGAATATTATGTCATTACCAGGAGGGTCTTGTGCATTTTACGTTAAGCAAGCAAGATTTTTGTTCAGTAAGGAGAGAAATGGGAATGAAGGTAAGATGTTTTATTTAATACTTTTCATCATGCATACATTAGTATTTATGGGACTTTACATTATGCATAAATGGCACCATTGAAAAAAAAATTCCAAAGGGGGGCGAGAGATGCTCCCGGAGACTTTGACTACATCGTCATTAAATAATTTGCACTCTGTTGATCACTTATTTAACAAACCTGTATTTGAACATTATCATCTACAGCTTGAATTCCAGGACATAGTCCACTCCATAAATAAATCGTATCTACAAGGCTGAGACAGAAACAAACACATAAACACATTCTGTAGCACTCGAAGCTGTGGTTGGACCGATGCATACACGAAGGACAGTGATGAGATAAGTGCAGACGGGAGTGTTCCAGAGTTTAGCTCTGTGTCAGGTGGTGGACCATATATTTCCACGGCAGCCATGACTAGCGAGGACTCAGGGGAGAGCAGGGAAGAGAAATGATAAGGTGGAGGGGGAGAGTGTGTCTCATCATCACTTTATATAATGAAGTTGTTTTGAAAGCTACGTTTTTTACATTCGGTTCTGTTTCCTGCCAGACAACCTCCTTCCAACCCTCCTTCTCAATGGGGAAAAAGCCCTCCAACTTCCCCTTAGACACTTACAGACACACCCACATAAGTTCATGAACACACATCTGCAATCACACAGCTGGAGGAAATACATAGTGCACAGCATTCTGTAGAGGGAGTGTAGTCATCAGTCTAAAATGCTGATATTAGGATGGTGACCCTCCTGTTATGTTTGTTTTGTGTTTACAACTTTGTGTTTTGAGTTCCAAAATGACTGCCCTATTATAGCTAAATCCATAATAATCCATATGTTATCACCTAATAAATTCTTGTGAACATTATACGTTTTGAACTTCTATTTGCTATGTTATGGCCTATAGGGGTCATTGTTTCTTTTAGTAATGAAAGGACTTAGGCATCGGTTGTCCATTGGTCTGCATCATATTCTGTAACGTCTTCATTAATAACTTCCTCCTCTAATACATCTTCCCTGTCAGTTCCGTGGCCTCTCTTCTCATCACCAGTGTCAGGAATCATGATCGAAGATATGATCAAGAGCATCACATGCAGTCCATTGTGTTGCCACAGCATGAGTGCTGTAGGAATGAGCCGCAAAAAACTGGAAATGAGTTTGCATTTTTGCACTTTCGGATCCCTTGTCAATGGTTTTTTTTTAATGCATTTTTGGTCGGAAATAGGGTCTGTGGTTAACACAAGCTTAAGATATTTTAATGTTTTGTTCTGTGGTATTGAATATGTCAGTGAATTTTGAAGCTTTTTAGTGTCTTTAAAAAGGCAAAATGAGACTCTTAAATGTCATTCTGCCCAGTTCGCCTTTACAGCCTCATCATGTATACTCACACTTATGTGACCGAGGTTTAGTTCGTTGATAGCCAAGTGTTGGATTGTTGCTTCTTAAAAAAAAAAATCATAAACATGGTGTAGATAAGAGTATTTTGCTGAACAAAACGTATCAGAAACGTTTGTTTGCCACAGAGTTGATTTTTTGCAATAATCCAAAATCCAATTGAAAAATCCCATTGGATTTTTGTCAAGGGAACCAGTGACACGATAACTTCTGGGTTTGGTCAACAACAAGTCGTCCCTGCACCACTCTATTGTGAGAAAGGCCCTCAAAAAAAGCTACCATAGCTGTGAAAAAAGTTCTATATATTATTGAAAGAATGTTGCCATTGTTTGGTTAGAACACCAACAGGTCAGGCACTCGTGGGGAAAGATTCTATCGAGCGGTGCAGGGATGATGTATTTTTGTAGGTCGGCCCCTGAAGTTAGCATCGCAATAGTTCCCTTGAAAAAAAGCCAATAGGATTTTTCCATTGGATTTTGTGCACTTTAGATATAGGGAAAGTATATTTTGAATAGTGCTATCTGGTCCCATATACGCAGTCACTCCCCATGTCTCTGAATCTCTCATTTGTCACAGCCTTTTCCACTTTCTCCTTGATGCGTAGCTGCCATTGTGACTGCCATTTTTCTTTACTCTTCCTGCCATTCCGGGCCCCAGATTTAGGGTGGGGAAGAGTGAGGGAATAGCAGCAGAAACAAACATAGTCACTCCTGATTAAACGGGTGCAGTCAGTGTATGAGCAGGGGACAGCAGCTGCAGTAAGTCTCCTTAGGGAGCTCCTTCCCTCCCTGCATATGTGCTGTACTGTCAGAGAGCTGTCAAGTGTCTGACATCATAGGGGGAAAGCTTCAGCTCTAAATCTTGCATTTGACCTCCACCCAGACCACAGAGACAACGCCTTGGCTGTCACTATGTGCCACACCCTTCCTTCCTTCCTTTACCTCCCATTGACCGCTGCATCCAGATGTCCACAAAGGACCCTGAAATCTCACCTCACTCCTTTCTTTTCATTCCCTACGAGGAGAAATGTCACTTCAGCTTAACTTGGGAATTCTTTCAGTCTCACAGACACTCAAGGAAATTCAGGGACTAAGAAATGCTAAGAGCAGGCAACCAAGATGCAGTAACGAGCCTTAGACTAATTATTTGTATTATCGGTTGATTTTCAATTAATTGTTTAGTAAATAAAATACCCAGAAACCTGTTAAAAGTGTGTCGGATTTGGCGGCATCTGGCCAGGTTTTAGGACTCATTCAGCTGACTCCTCCCTTTCCAAGACTGTCAATTAAAACATAGTAATGAATATTATATTCCATTTCAGCAAATAGATCCTCCGAAATGCTACACTCTGGCCCTTTGAAATAACAGTAAAGACGAAGAAAGAGCAAATCCTCACATTTCAGCAATAGATGAGCCACGATGCTTTGTCGGCTTACTGGCTACAATAACAGTTCCTGCAATCACAGTAACGCTATCCTTCAGGTAATAATGTTGTCTCACAGCACACCACAAATAACACATTTTCAAACTCCTCAGGCTGTGCAATAAAATAAAAAAGTATACTACGAAGTGTAGCCATGGAAACCACACAAAGTCCACTTTACCACTACTTTCTACATTAACAATCCAAAAGACAAAGTAACGCAGGAATACACGGTTCGTGCCCCCGAGCGTGAGTACTATTTTTGTTTCTGCACAGACGGGTGGCAAAAGTTGACTTTTCCACCCTGCCGACGCCCCCTGGTGTTTTTAAACAAAATACAAGATCGTTTTGGGGGGAAAAAATGAAAAGGAATTAACAACAGGTTTGGAATGTTATCTATGCACATCCGAGGAGAGGATGTGGC